GTAGGATGGTACTGGAATGTGCAAGTTACTGTCCTTGCCCACGAGCACAGGCTTATAATTAAGCAGAAGTCAACATTTAAAGATGAAAATGGTGGGAATTATGAACATACAAAATTATTTCCTGTATTTAAAGATAAATTTTTTTCTTCATTTAGAAAAAATTTACATTTGCTTTAAAAGGAAAGGTTTTTTTTACTTGTAATTGAACCTTTAAATAAATAAGAATATAAATTTAAATTGGGGTCCCATTATGGAATATTAGCTCCTATTTACACATATAACTCTTTTAAACCCAGCATTCCCTCTGTTTTTATTGCTTTGTTTAAATTTGTTGTTTTGATTTTAAAAATTTAAAAGTATAGTTTTTGGGTGGCGGGATTTTTTAACCCAAACAGGCCACCTATATTGTTTTCCCTTTGTCATCCTTATATAAAACCGTTATATGGTTATCTGAGTTTTTCTTTCATTAGTCCATTTGACTTTCATACTGGGGTAAAATTACATTAAAAAGTTTTAAATTTAAAAGCCTGCTCCCGGCAACAGAATTTTGCCCATGAAAACCAGTCCAGTCCATAGTCAGCACTATTAGCAAATATTTTTCAGTAATTTTTTAAAAATATTCCCAAAAAATTTTAAATGGCTTTGTCCAGATTTAAAAGAAAAAACAACCCAAATTTTAAAAGGGTTTGTTTTTATTTTCATTCTTATAAATTTAAAAAAATCCCCTTTTGTTTATATTTTTATGAAATTTACATCTAAAAATGAAAAGCTCTAGTAATGGTACATTTTTGATTTTCCCTGACATTTTCAAATTTTTAAAACAATTTTGAAAATTTAATTTTATCGGGAAAAAATTTTATTTTCCTGAGTGTGGTTTGGGAATTTGTCAGAAAACTGGTTTTACATTTAAAGTAAATTTTAACCCCAAACCCGTTAAAAACCAGACCATTTTGCCCCCCTTAAAGAAATTTCCCATTTGTAAAGGGGACCCTTGGTTTTATAGAAATTGGGTGGTGTGATTTTTTAAGATAAATATTTCTAAAAATTTATTTAAACTTTTTTGCTTTAAAATAAAAGAGTTGGCATCCGGGAAAGGAGCCCAAAATCTTAAAATTTCCACTTTGAAAACATTATAATTATTGAAATGGGATCTGATTCCCAACAGTGTCTTTTCAGGAAGTTTTTTTAATTTTTCCCACTCATAAAAAAGGGTTCTTTTGTCTCTATAGGGTTTTAAAAATGTTTTTTTAAATAAACTAAAATTAAACATGAAAACAATTCTTAAAACTTTTATATATTTTTAATTGAACTGAAAATTTGTTTTAAAAAACATGGTAAAGTGTATATACCTAATTTGTACATGCCAAATGATATGAAAGGAGTTTCCAGATATAATTCATGGAAATTAATATTCTGGGGAAGAGATTTCTGCTCAAGTCAAAATATTATAGAATGTTATTGTTGCAGTGTATAAGTTATAAGAATTATTGATAGGGTTATATGGCTCTTTATAAATAGATGTGCAAACAATCATTTATATATATGGTCAACAAATTTATTTTGTTAGAGAAAAAATGAAATTATGTAACTGTCATGATTATCGAATGAAAAGCGACATAACATACATCCTGAGAGAGAGAGAGACTTTGAATCTTCATGCATTTTAGACATATTTGCAGTAATTAGCAAATTACTGTCCAGTTAAAAGCACATTATGGTAAGTTTTGGTATAATCTACTTGGAGTCTATTTGATGCTGTCACTATATGATGATTTAAGCTATTTTTGACAGAGTTACAGCATTAGATACTTCATTAATGTCACTGTGAGGGTCATTAATACCACAATTCTCTGGAACTTGACAATATTCCTCTTGACAAGAGTCTCGTTCAAACTGTCCATATTTGATATATAGTATACACCACTATGACTTGATTATAAGGTTTCTCTTTATGGACCAGTCAGTAATAATGGTGGCCTCCCGGCACCGTCTATTCATGAGTTTTTTTGCTGTCCCACTGGTACTCTTATACAAGTTGTTTAATCAAAATGTCATAGATCTTGCCCTTCTTTGGGAATAAGGTACATTTCATGAATTGTAACTCTTCCATGTTGGAGAGAAAGTCAAGCTATTATGATATCTGCACCATTATTCAATTATTTTAAATATTACCAACATGAAACGTGGAATACTTGCTTATTATGACAATATGCAGTTGTTAGGCAAGGGGCATAGTTCTGAAAGGTATATTTTTGGAGTTATCTCCCTTTTTCACTTATAATTTATTGATAGTCATTGCCCTAAACGGACCCGCATTTTTATCCAAATGTTTGTGTTTGTTTGATTATGTTTAGCTGTTTTTGATTCAATTTGTCAAAAGTCCCTTACAACCTGAGGAACTGTTTTTAGTACTTAATGTTAAAAGTTATTTCTTTTAAAGAAACTTGATCAAATTTGCTGAAAAGTATATTGTTTTGAACAATTTGATATTTGATTTTTCTGATTTGAATAACATGCTTAATACTGTAATGCTGCAGCAGAAAACAGAAAGTTTTATGTTTCCCTAAGTAAATAACTGTTTTTTATGACACAGACAAAACTAATAAAACATTCTCCCAGGGAAAACTTATACAAGGCTTGATTTGGATAATTGGCTTTACCTTAGATTGTAAAAGATTTCACTAGACATGTTAAATGATAGCCATATTATTTTGTAGACTTTCTTGGAATTAGTTTATTGATCACTGGGTTAGATTTGTTAGTTAAGTTGTCAATCAACGGTATTGTTAGAATCAGGGGAAAATTTACACGCCATGATTGCTAATCTAAATCAGCTGTTTTGTAAATCAGTTCATTTTATTCTTTAATTATTTATTTATGCATTCATCTGTGACAGTGAAGGTAATTAAAGGTTAAATCAATAGAGTTGATGGTAATTCTTTTATTTCACCAGCATTTTTTTTTATATACATAATACATACATACATACATACGTAATTATGTACGTGTACGTACATATGTACATACATACATACATGTATTATTAATTATTGCAGCAGATATATAGCTTCGTTCACTTTAAACGAACAGGGCAATATTAGTGCTTTTTTGTTTCAGAATAATATAATAACAATATGCACCAAGTTTCTATGATTTGTCCACTTAAGCAGAATCTGAATTTAAATGTATTACTTTGTACTTTGAATATATTAATAGAAACTAAAATTGGAACATTTCAAATGCATTATATTGCATTATATTGGCCTGCACTGATAATTTATGATAGCAACCACAAGCAAACTAAGTGATAAAAAGATTTAAATTAAAGACACCTGAAAGATCATTTTGAATGCTCAGAAACTGCTATTCATAAATCAGTAAAAACTTTCATTCATTCTTCTAGTGAAAATTCTGCTAGAATTCAATAAAAGAACACAAAATTTTATTATTTGAGTTGTATGTATTTTTATGGGTAATTTACTACAGTATAAGGTTCATGATATTGGTTCACGGTGCTAATATAAGCCAAATAATACAGGAGAGTTAACACTAATAAGATGAGAAAAGTGAAAACTTTATTGTCTAATGTAATGATATCCCGACAAATTGGACAAGTGCTCTACTGGGAGACTTTAAAACACAACTTTATAGGGATAATTTGTATTGCCTTATATTGTAAGAGATTTCTCTAGTCTTGTTAAACGAGAGGTCTATAATTGTAGAGACTTTCTTGCAATCGGGTTATTGATTGTCAGGCTCGTTCTGGAAGTAGCTGCCAATCAGTGGAGGTAGTTAACTCTTCAAGCAGCACTCCTCCACATTCATGGTGTAGAAAATATTTAAAAATGCTTAAACTATTTGTCCATTTGATTTCATCTTTTTGAAAAAATTCTGATCATTGAACATGAACTATATTTTTGTATTGTTAATTATATATAATTATATATACATGTTGTTTTTGGGGTTTTTTTTCCACAGTTTCTTTTACAAGTTTGTTACCCCAGACGGTATAAAACATATCATGTTGTGTAAAAGCATTCAGACATAATTATGCAATTTATTTAATGTCAAAGAAACAATTTTTCTAAATATAGACTTGTTAAGATGTATCTCTAATTGGATCTGATATTCCATGGATTTTCACTAATTTTGATAACTCCTTTATGCTTCGTTAAGGAACAAATTCTATTGATGTGCCTAAATTGCATTAAGAAACCTGTCTTTTAAATGTCGTTTTCATCATGTGCGTTTTAGTTTTCATGTAATTCTGACCCTTGAATCTAAATATTTTTAAAACAAGTAAAGTATTAAAGCAAATTGATGTAGAGCTCATCGAGCAGAAAACAGAACAAAAGAGGAACAGAAATTGTTCTGAAAGGAAAATTGAGGCCCATCACGATAGATAATTACTAGTTATAGGGCATAAGAATGAATAAATGAGAGTATATATGAAGTCTTTGTTGATTTCTATGAAATGTACACTGTATCGTGTAAGATTACAAGACTTATATATAATGATATCAAGTGACAAAATGACCCTTTGACAAATGTTAATTAAAGGGACTCCACTGAGGATTTTTGGTATGATGAGACTGATTTTTCCGAGATTTTTGTACGAATAGATGTATGTCTAGATGAATAACTTGTGTGAGAATTTTCAGATCAATACCACACTCAGTTTTTATATAATAATCATATTGTGCAAAATGACCCAAAATTGTAAAAGTATTGCAATGCTTTTCACTCAAATTTGGCTAAGAACAGCACACAAAAATTGATATTCAATTTATTATTTTATTCAAATTGAGTATACATGTATTTTGTAAATTATCGTTTGCACATTTTTCCAATTTATGTTTTTTCAGTGATATAATTTTGTAAGAATGTTTTTAGTTGTTATTTTGTCCTGAGACAATATAGGTCCTTTAAAAAAAGAGTTTAGTCACAGTAATTGGTTAATAAAGAAACATTGTCACATTAATTTCTGGTTCTATTTTCAGGTGGTATTACAGGTGGAATAGAAATATGTATCACATTCCCTACAGAATATGTGAAAACACAGCTTCAGTTAGACGAAAGATCTGGCAGAGCCCGCAGATATACAGGGCCTGTTAATTGTGTTCAATTGACTGTTAAAGACTATGGTGTTAGGGGGCTTTATAGGGGTCTTCCAGTACTTTTATATGGTTCAATACCTAAATCAGCTGTAAGGTAAGTGTAACAGATATCCCAATAACATTGATTAGAATACATGTTATCACCTTAGTGCAGAAATAGGAAAAGTCCTTCTAAATCAAATTGGACTTATTCAGTTATTGCACTAAGGTGAGGATTTGCAGTTTTTATTGGATAAATTTTAGTTAGATAAATAGATATTATCTTACACTGTTGTAGAATTATGCACAGTTGAGTTCATATGAGTAGTTCTATATAAACACAAAAGTCAGGAGACAGGGTTTGAATTACATAGCACAATTAGCATTTAACCATGCATTACTACAATTGTAAGTAAAGTTTTAAGAAAAGTTGATATATCTATTTCTATTTTAACATGACAGAGAATCGATAAAGATATATTAAATTACATTTAGCAGAGAGTAAGTTATTTTTAGCTCACCTGAGCACAAAGTGCTCAAGGGTGAGCTTTTGTCCTCACTCTGCGTGCGTCCTTCAAAAAATGGCGTCAAACTTTTCAAACAACATCTCCTCCTAAACCACATGGCCAATTGCAACCAAACTTTACAGAAATGATCCTTAGGTAGACCCCTTCCAAAGATGTTCAAAAATTTAAATTCCATTAAAAACTCTGGTTGCCATGGCAACCAATTGGAAAAACTTAAAAAAATCTTCTTTTAAAGAACCCTAAGAGCTAGAGCTTAGATATTTGGCATGAAACATCTTCTAATGAGTGTCTACCAAGTTTGTTCAAATCAAAGCCCTGGGGTCAAAATTAGCCCCGCCCCAGGGGGTCATTGATTTTCCCTATATGCATATAGTAAAATCTTAAACAATCTTCTTTTAAAGAACTCAAAGAGCTAGAGCTAAGATATTTAGCATGAAACATGTTCTAATGGGTGTCTACCAAGTTTGTTCAAATCAAAGCCCTGGGGTCAAAATTGGCCCTGCCCCGGGGGTCATAGATTTTCCTTATATGTGTATAGCAAAAACTTAAAAAAATCTTCTTTGAAAAAACCCAAATAGCTGGGGTTTAGATATTAAGCATGAAACATCATCTAGTTAGTGTGTACAAAGTTTGTTCAAATGAAAGCCCTGGGGTCAAAATTGGCCCCGCCCCGGGGGTCATTGATTTTCCTTATATTACAGTGTATAACAAAAACTTAAAAATCTTCTTTGAAAAAACCCAGATAGCTAGAGTTTAGATATTACGCATGAAACATCTTCTAGTGAGTGTCTACCAAGTTTGTTCAAATAAAAGCCCTGGGGTCAAAATTGGCCCCGCCCCAGGGTGTCTGATTTTCCCTATATGCATATAGTAAAAACTTAAAAAATCTTCTTTTAAAGAACCCAAAGAGCTAGAGCTAAGATATTTAGCATGAAACATCTTCTAATGAGTGTCTACCAAGTTTGTTCAAATAAAAGCCCTGGGGTCAAAATTGGCCCCGCCCCAGGGGGTCATTGATTTTCCCTATATGCATATAGTAAAAACTTAAAAAATCTTCTTTTAAAGAACTGAAAGAGCTAGAGCTAAGATATTTAGCATGAAACATGTTCTAATGGGTGTTTACCAAGTTTGTTCAAATAAAAGCCCTGGGGTCAAAATTGGCCCCGCCCCGGGGGTCATTGATTTTCCTTATATGTGTATAGCAAAAACTTAAAAAATCTTTTTTGAAAAAAACCCAAATAGCTGGAGTTTAGATATTACGCATGAAACATCTTCTAGTGAGTGTCTACAAAGTTTGTTCAAATAAAAGCCCTGGGGTCAAAACTGGCCCCGCCCTGATTGTCATTGATTTTCCTTATATGTGTATAGCAAAAACTTAAAATATCTTCATTTAAAAACCCAATGAGCTAGAGCTTAGATGTTTAGCATGAAACATCTTCTTATTGGTGTCTACCAAGTTTGCTAAAAAAAAAGCCCCTGGATTAAAATTGGCCCTGACAGGGGGGGGGGGGGGGAGTAGATCATTGTTTTTCATTATACATGTATGTGTGTAGTAAAAACTTAACATTGTGAAACATCTTCTAATGGGTGTCTTCTAAGTTTGTTCAAATAAAAGCCCTGGAGTTTAAACTGGCCCCGCTCCGGGTGCCTTTATACAGGTGAGTGACCTCAGGGCCATCATGGCCCTCTTGTTATGACGTATTAACATGGTCTGGTTCTCATTGACATCATATCTGACATCATATAATGTGTAAAACATTCCTTTTATAATTCTGTGCATTATTGTGAAATAATGAGGATATAGTCACTGAATGAGTACTTGAGGAGAGGTTCAAGAAAACTGCCAAAAGTTTTTATAACCCTACAAAACATAGTTTGGGGGAGGGGGGCTATATAGGAATCACTTTGTCCCGTCCCGGCCTGTTTGTCCCATCTCAGGAACCAGTAGATATCAGCTTGGCACATCAAAGCAATATCACAATGCAACTGTCTGTAATTTCTCCGCTTAAAGTGATTTTATCTGGTGTACGGTCCCATACTGTGCATGTTAGTATATACATGTAAAATATTTTTAAGGCTTAAATAAGAAAAAATTTGATTATGCACCCATTTACAGCACCCCTGAACATGAGAGTTTCTTCCATATAAAGCAAGGGTTGTTTTTGTATGTGTGTAATTTACATCAGGTTTGATATTGTTTGACATTTTTTCTATCTATATTAAATTTTGAACAAACAAATAATGTAATAAAGATAGATAGTAAATCAAATTGTAGCAACGAAATAAAAAAAGAAAGAAAAAAACAGATTCTTACATTAAATGTTAACTGCTTCTAGATAAGAACAAACTTTTAACTTTGTTTGCGTAATAAACTACTCAATAAAGCAATGAGACTGAATTGTCTGTTTCACCAGACAAAAATTTTCCCGAAATATCTGGATTCTTAATTTCACGATCAAGCTGGCTCATTTATAAAATCGTCTTCAGGCCAGCAGGGTTTGCACGGAACTATAATTTTGTGTCTGAGATTTTACGAAATAATGTTCTGAATCGATATATAGCTTGGGAACCTTATCATTTTTGTTCTGCCAATTCTAGAAGAGATTGATAACCCCTTTTATGGCAAAATCAATGCTCGTCCTAACTGAGATATCGCCATTTCATGTCAAATATTGTTCATGATATTTACAATAGATTTTTGTTATACAATTTCCTTTTCACCAGAGCAAAATTGACTTCTGAAGGAAATGTACTTCTGTATTGAATATGAAAGAAACATGAAAGGCGGCAAAGATGTCCATTTTCTGTGAGGAATTGATTTTTGATCAGAAACAAAATTGAAGATATGGTTGGTTTGAAAATGCATTGAAATCTTAATTTATCTTATGTCAAGAGGTGACACAAAAGATAGCAAATGCATTTTGCATTGAAATAAGTATAAAGGAACTTCTCAAATTCTCTGCCATTTTTATTTTAGAATGTAAATTTAAGCAGAATTTGATTTGAAAAATTGCAATTATTTTCAAGCGCTGGCCTGAGCTTACCTGGATAGGTAGAAGGTCAGGAACAGGAGCACTTCTGACCTCTGATATGTGAAATTTTTATATTGAAGATCAATATAAGGTAAACTGATTTTTGACTTGTGCTCAAGGGTTTGTTTAATAGTAAATGATGTTTCAAGATGATGCAGAGAAGTAAGCTGCTACTTGTGGGGGAAGAATTGGTTAGCATTAAGTACAAAATCTGAGTGACCACTTGTAAGGCCAAACTACCATGAGGAATAATACAACTGAAATAGGTTATAAACACTTAATTAATGTTAAAAAATTAACTTTACTCAATCATGATACAAAATATAAGTGTCAAAATAGTAGTCAAAAATGGAAAATTTAAAGGTTTTCCAAAATATCAAAAAAGTAAATGTTGAAGGCTTGTTTTTTCTGGGCCTGCTCATGAAGAGCAATGGTATATGCAAGCAATCCACCTTCCACCAGTCCTTGCAGTAAAGCAGAACTTGTTAATTTTTCAATCTGGACAAAATCATTTGTCAGTTTTAGAGAAATTTTCAAAAACGGACTGACTGAATTGCAAAAAGTGCCGACCATGAGCAGACAACTCAGATCTCTAGCTGGTCCTACCTGCTCGCATGAGTAGTCTACTGTAGGGTAAGGGTTAATAAATCATTTCATTTTCTGTTACAAAGTTATAAATCTGATTCTAGTGTTTGTTTTTCTATCATTGTTTATAAACATAACATCTCTACCTTGACCTATATAATATATTTTACACAATTACCTATTCAATGTTTACATAATGAATGAGCCTAAATGGACTGAATGAATAAAATTAATGTTCTTAACTTTGAAAGTGTTGTTAACATGCATTACTTGAATATGTTAATTTAAAACATAAAAATTTTATTTCTTGATGAAGTTGTTTTAGGTATGGATTGTGGGAGGAGTGGGAGGGGGGGGGGGGTGGAGGATCATAACCTTCCTTGAGATTAAGCCACTGAAAGTTTACATCAGTTTTTGGGGTTTTTCTTTTAAGTAAAAATCACTCAAGAACTAGTGAAGGTTATGTACATATTCTTATCTAAGCACAATGTGAAAGTTTTCATTGAAACAAAAACCCCTATAATTATAATCTGTCCAGTAGTTTATTATTATATGTAGCAATTGTTTATGGTTTAAATATTTATGACAGAAACATTTTGTAACAAAGATGAGTAAGTTCTTTATTTGTTTGTTTGTTCAGTTTGTTTCTCTGCCAATGTTTACATCATTTCAGTCATGTACAAAACAAGTGTTCCAGAATTCTGCACAAATGTTTACCTGTTTCCCACAAGTAACTGCCAACTTCTCAACTATATCATTTGAAACAATGGTGAAGTACTGATGTAGTCAATTAACATGTCACTAATTGATATTCTTACTTAATTGTATGGATTTAGCTATCCTTAATTATTTGTATGCATTCAATTATCCTTTTAATAGTTTTGGCGTTGTCCGTCCGTCCATCCTTTGTCCGAATTTCATTTCCGGACTAGTTCTCTGCAACTACTGGCTGGAATTCAACGAAACTTTATGGGAACCTTCAATATCAAGAGGGGATGAGCATATCGTCGGCTTGTTCTGGTCCCACACTTTAACTTAGAGTTATGGCCCTTGATTAGTTATGCAGTATGCATATAGAGTAAAAATCGTTTCCGCGCTACTTCTCTGCGACTACCAACTGGAATTCAACAAAACTTTATTGGAACCTTCAATACCAAGAGGAGATGCGCATATCGTCGCCTTGTTCCAGTCAGACACTTTAACTTTGAGTTATGGCCCTTGATTAGTTATGCAGTATGCATATAGAGCAAAAATCGTTTCCGCACTACTGACCTCTGCAACTACTGGCTGGAATTCAACAAAACTTTATGGGAACCTTCAATACCAAGAGGAGATGCGCATATAGTCACCTTGTTTGGGTCAGACACTTGAACTCAGAGTTATGGCTCTTGATTAGTTATGCAGTATGCATATAGAGCAAAAATCGTTTCCGCGCTACTTCTCTGCAACTACTGGCTGGAATTCAACAAAACTTTATGGGAACCTTCAATACCAAGAGAAGATGGGCATATCATTGCCTTGTTGGGGTCAGACATTTTAACTCAGAGTTATGGCCCTTGATTAGTTATGCAGTATGCATATATAAAAATATTCGTTTCTGCGCTACTTCTCTGCAACTACTGGCTGGAATTCAATGAAACTTTATTGGAACCTTCAATACCAAGAGGAGATGGGCATATCGTCGCCTTGTTGGGGTCAGACATTTTAACTTAGAGTTATGGCCCTTGATAACTTATGCAGTATACAACCAGAGCAATAATTGTTTCCGTGCGACTTCTCTATAACTACTGGCTGGAATTCAATGAAACTTTATGGGATATGAAGAGGAGATGTGCATATAGTCGCCTTGTTCCGGTCAGACACTTATAACTCAGATTTATGGCCCTTGATTAGTTATGTAGTATGCATACATCTCATTGGCATTTATAGATATTACTATTTAACACAGAGTTATGGCTCTGTTATTGCCCTGAATATTTATTAAGTTCAAAGAATATAACTGTTTATGCCATGATAAATATATAAATAAAGCCTTATGTCTTCAGTTGGTGTGTTATATATAGTAATAACCAGTACTCGGTGGGGGATATAAATTCAACGAATTTGCTTGTTATTTGTATGTTATAATTCAATTATCCTTTAATTATTTGTATGTTATAATTCAATTATCCTTTAATTATTTGTATGGATTCAGTTATCCTGTAATTAGTTTGCCTTGAATGAAATTCTGTGCTTTATTTAATATTTTTATTTTTATTTCAAGTTAAACTCCTGAGTTTATCAGGATTGTAGGGTCCTCCTCAACTCACAAGTATATATAGGAAACTGTTATGGCTTAATTTGCAAATGTACAAGGACATTTCTTATAATGTTCTTTTGTATGATTTGACCAGGAATGACCAATAGGTCTTCTTGATAAAGAGTTAGAGGTTGCATATCACTGGGACATAGTTATGTCAGAGTTCTGAGCTACTGCACACTGTTGTATCTTGACTTGCCCACAGAAGTACATGTATATATAGAGTGTAGGCTTGGACTTTTGCATTTTCAGGTACTCTGTACAGGCTGTAAAGTTACAATTAATTGCTGCATAGAGAACATGTGACTGTGTTCAGTATAATTACATTATAGTCCCTGTTTTTTTGTGTCTCCAGACATAATATCTTTACTTACCATTGTCAGTTAATGGGATGATATTTTATTATTTTGATTGCTGGCATGTTAACAACATTCTACAGCTAGAGGTGACACCACCTTGATGTATAAATGTTTCATGGTCATGTGATTTTTCATTGCATATTTTGTAAATGCCTTAATACCATGTGACCGACTGGTGTGACATTTGCTTGCCATAAGTGCATGTGACTTTGGTGTTATTATCTACATATCAGTTTAAGAGTGCACGAGATCTCAATTTCATTGCCTTCATAACTGTCTATGAGATCATAAAAAACATATTTCTTTATAAGTACATAATTATATGATTGTCAACACTGTCTCCTTATGCAGTTACCTCCCTTTGGTTTTATTCTGTCATGTGCAAGAACAATGAATATTGAATAAACATAATTATAATGTAATTCAATTGAAAGATGTTAGAGCTGTGTTGCCTACAACATAATAATAATAATAAATAAAAAAAGCCATTAAATAAATTATATAGTTTGAAAAAAAAATACTAAAATATTCATATGTCAACAATTACTGAGCCTTTGCACAGTTTAATTGTAACATATAATTATACAATGATTTTACTCTTTTTATCATCATATTTCACCTTTGACAACAAAGTAAGGACTGTTCCTACATATCATATTTTTATTATACATTAATGTCTATGTACACTTGACAAAATATTTACAAATTTAATTTGAACATTTTTTTACATTTGATGAAAAGATTTAATGAATCTGTACAGTAGGCATGCTGCTTGCTCTAAGAAGAAAAACGTGTGTATTTTAGTTTATTTATGCTCGCCACTGACTACCCTTATGGGTGAGTCCTCCAGAAGAGTATTAGTCGTTTAAGATTTTGGAGGACAGTGCAAGATATAGATATAGAAAGATATATATAAGCTTCTCCTGGTTCTTCATCGTGCCAAGTGTTTATGCACTTGTACACTAGACCTTGATTTAAAGATTCATCTGAAAGAATATTTGACTTTTTTAAGTTGGCCAGCTCTGAAATCAAACCACAACATTGAAACTACAAGATTACATTGTCAATCCCATGCTTAAACCCATTGAGCTATGCAGGCTGGCTAGAAATTAAGAAAATAAACTTTCTGGTTTAACCTCGTATTTGATATGTGATTTGTATTTCACAGATTTGGTATGTTTGAAGAATTAAAAAGACATACATGTGATGAAAAAGGACATTTATCACCTCATAAAAGAGTTTTATGTGGATTAGGTAAGATTTCTCAATAACTTGATGAGTTCTTGTCGAAAAATTTGTCTGGCCATAAATGGTTATTACAGCTGAATGTACAGTTTGAATGACAAGATTTTAGCATAGTTAGGCCTTTTATTGTAATATTTATTGCAAGACACTGTCGGAACTGTTCCTATGATTGGGCATTGTTCAGTATAGTAGTAAGTGTGGAGATATATAATTTAGACTATAATGTGGAATCAATATAATCTTTCTATATTTGTATCCAACATTAACTCTGTATGACCACTGCTGGTTGGAAGGTTTTATTTATTTGTCTATAGTTGAAATCTCAGCAATACCGAGACAATATTTTCTGTGGGCATATAATGGTACCTCATTAATTTATTAGTGTTAATATCTCATTATTGAAAGTTTTAAGGCTTATGATCGTAACTATTACAAGAATAGATAGGCTACCCTACTCACCCAGGCATCAGAAATAGCGTTGGCATAAGACTTAAGTTTCAATTTCTTACCATAAAGATAATGAGCCGCGTCACGACAAAACCAACATAATGCATTTGCGACCAGCATGGATCCAGACCAGCCTGTGCATCCGCACAGTCTGATCAGGATCCATGCTGTTAACTTACAATAGAGAAAAACAGAATCCCTAAAGAAAGCCCAACAGGGCAAAATTGAAAATGTTGCAGGCTCGGTTTGATTGAGCCTGTTCATGGACGGTACTGGAAAGTGCAAGTTACCGTCCACGCCCCCTAGCACAGGCTTAAGCAGAATTCAACATTTAACACGAACAACCCTATAACAAGTAGAGAAACTGATAACGAACAGCATGGATCCTGATCAGACTGCGCGGATGCGCAGGCTGGTCTGGATCCATGCTGGTCGCAAACCCATTATATCCCATGTCATGACGCGGCTCATATATGTTTGAACTATCCTGACACTGTTCAGTACTAGTGTCATAAAAAGAAACATGTTTGCTACCCATGTAGTACTTAAACCCATGATCTGTGGTTGTTTGAGAGGCAGACTACTAACCACTAGGGCACAGCTCCTTTTAGTGAATGTTGAAAACCAAATCGTAATTTTCCAGCATACACAATCTTTTTATCATGGTAAGAAATGGTAATGAAATAAAGTTATTGTTTTTACATTATTTATTTCTTGATTCAGTGAAACCTGTGTTAATGACATCATCAGATAAAGATCACCCTATAAACATTGAAAGCCATTTGCTGACAATCCTTTATTGGTGAAAAAGATCAAGGTGAACTCCAAGTATAGCCTACTTGTCTAAAAAGGCCATGTTTGGTCTCTTCCGTAGATGACCTTTGTTCACAGTTTTGACTGTAGTGGCTTTAAAACTTATTTTTTTTTCAATTTGAAATTTATTTTTACTCCCCACAGGTGCTGGTATAGCAGAAGCCATTTTTGCAGTAACTCCTATGGAAACTATTAAAGTAAAATTTATAAATGACCAGACCTCAGCGAATCCTAAATTTAAAGGATTTTTTCATGGTGTCAGGGAAATTATAAAAACTGATGGTAAGGATGCACTTAGTAATTGTACATATTTATTTATTGTATTACAATATATATAAAAATCAGGATACTTAGTCAATATATTAATTTTTGTTGACGAAGAATAAAAAAGCCTTAAGTGATTGACCTTTTGACTCAGGAAGCTATGAATAAAAGAAAAAATACATTATAACATTTTGCACCACTTAAAGAAAATAAGTGGATCTTTTACCATGATCTTCTGGTTAACTTTGGTTGTTGGTTAAACTTTTCATTACTGTCTGATCATGGTCTGAAGTGTTTGCTATTCTGTCAGTTATTATTTTGAATTTTGCCCTTAACTAATGAACGGTTTTGTTCATTGTGAAAGGGAATAAGTCCATTTATGATGTTCAGTGTGATAAGGTATAAATAAAAAAAATGAGGGCAAGTCTTTGTCATAAAATGCCACAGATGTAATAATATTTTAAGGGTATATATCTTATGCAATATTTTTTATAAAATTTATCAACAGTATAAATTATGTTTGTTTCATAATTTATGGTTGAGTCTCTCGAAAGTGTTGTAACATAGAATGCCTCAGTCATTTAACATGCATAAATATTATACATAAACTGAATAAAACTGAATAAAATGATCCAGAACAAAATATTATTCTGCTATTTAAAGTAGGGTTTTATCTGTTTATAGCAATGATTTTTTTTTTCAAGACAATTTACTACCATATTTTTTTGATACAAGCATTTTGAAAGTATAATTTTTTGAAAGTCAACCATTATAATTTTGCTCTAGATAATTTTTTAGCTTGATTCCTTTAAGGTGAATGGAAATGTTGCTATTTTAATTTTTTTAGGTATACAGGGGTATACGGATTGTACCAATTTTAAAAAACAGTAATCAAGCTTTGTTTTTTTTTTTTGGGGTTTAAAAAAGGGATCGAGGGGAGGACCACAATAAACGGGTACCGATGTATGTTGTTGGAGCATTTGGTGCTTTTGCCGGTGCTTGTTCTGTTTATGGAAATACACCATTAGATGTTATTAAAACTAGATTACAGGTAAGTCGAGCTCTTTATTTCCTTTAGTTAAACAATTAAATAAAAAAATGTTAAACATATGATTACTAACATATGATTATTGAAGAAAAGTTAACAGATTTTATTTGATGGAATTATGCCAAACTTATGTTACTGGTGTATCAGTATTGATGTACATTAAGCTGATCTTGTTTTCTTTTTATTATTTTGTAATTCTTATATATAAGGGTCATTTATTTGTACATTTTTGGTTAGGAAAGTTTAACATTAAAAAGAATAAATGTATGGTCGTTTAATATTGTAACAAATGAAAGGAATTACAAGGAATTGTGTCTTCACAATTTGGAAAAATGCATATAATTTGGTATTGAGGAATTTTCTCTCTTTCATCAGAGGTAACTTTTAAAAGAAAATACTAAAGATTATGCCTGTCTTGAGACTGTTTAGGGGTATATAACAGAATGTTTTTGAATCATTCTCAGACAAAGGTGATTGTTTTAAACATTTTTTGACATTTTGGGATTGAAAATAAGATTTGTGTCCCCTTTGATGTAGGTTTAATCAATAATTTAATTTTTATTTGCTTTTTCTATTTTTCCAGAATATGAAAAAATAACCCAAAATTAAAAACTTGAAAATGCTTTGAACTCAAATTGAGCCAAGATTTCGACTAAAAATCAATTTTCAATTTAATTCTGTGTATATTTCTTTAATATATTTGAGCATATTTTTCCATAATTGTATTTTTGGTGCTTTTGAACCTCTGTGTAATTCCTTTAAGAATTATTACTTTTCAGACATTATTACAAAATAATTATAATCTCATATATTTCTTAGAAATTTTAATTACCTGACATTGTAGTCTGCAGCAAAATTATTCTGTATTTGAAGAATCTATTTTGACATTTTAAAATCTTAGGAGATACTCAGTAGCATATAATGATTTTACATTTATTCAAATATAAGTTTAGTAGTGTAAAATATCAACAGATAGCTATTATGTTTTTCTTAAATGAGAAATGAAGTAATAAACCAACACTATCTTTTACCTTTAAATGATTTGTTCTTTAATATAGAGTTTTGCACATAAAAAAGTAGTCTAAGATAAAAGAAGTTTTTTTTTTTTACGAGTGTCTGTTTGATAAGATAGGCTTCTTTGAATAATTATAACTTGTAATGTTGTTCACTGCGTTACCCTGCTGGAACTGAATGGGATAATACTTCATCGCCAGGCCAGCCAGCATATCCTAGCAGTCTGACCAGAGGCTGTATACTGTGGGTAGACAAATTGATAATGTACAGTTCTATATACATGTATTGAAATAAAGAAATTCATCTGGTGAAGGTTCAACTTAAAATTGCCTGAGGACACCAATGCAGTGTGTTTAAATTGTGTTTGTGATCATGAGCAACCTTCATATCTATGTTATAATGATAAATAATTATATTTATTATATACCAATCCATATCTTTAGATCTACATTAAATGCATGTATTACATGCACAAATATGACCATACAGTAATTGTGATCCAGTATGACATAGCTGTTGTTAAACCAATTATTTTATAGTTGAAGATCTTGTTCAAATTTGACAAGGTATGCAATTGAAGGGTTATTATAACAGTTTCTTGATCTATTTCTAATATTTGGCTCAAATAGATTTTACTAAAGAACAGATCCTGCTGAGCTGTACCACGCCTTGTTTGATCCCATCCTTTTATAAATCTACTGGAGTCAAATAAAAGTTCCAGATCAAGATAATCCTCTCACAACCCTATCATATTAAAAGTCAGAAGTGACAATGTTAATTAAAAGACGCTTTTCCTTTTACTAAATACATATTGTTTTCAATTACACAGTGGATTTCATGTATTTGATCTATAAGTGGTTATATTATATATTTTAGGGTTTAGAGGCACATAAATACAAGGGAACAATAGACTGTGCAGTAAAAATATTCAAACATGAGGGACCAAGAGCGTAAGTTCATTATTTTTCTGTCTAATAAACATGTATAAAAAACACACACAAAAAACAAAGTTAATGTCATCAAAAGAAAATCTTCAAAAAACAACCAATCCATTGGTTCAATTTCAATTTACTAAAGGTTTGTTTTTAACATCTGCAAATAAAATTAGATTAGGGCTGATAAAACCAGAATTCATCCAGTATGAACCAAGACATTGTTAAAAAATTGCAAAGAATTTGCACATACAAAAACGATGTGCCTGTTTTGAATCATGGAAGATTCTGATGGTCCAAGAAAACAAACAAGCTAAACATGTTTGTGGGCCATATATTGATTGATTTAATCTGGCATGTAGTTTTCCTGGGGCTCATTGTTATAGTTAACAAATAACAAAACAGAGAGATTTGACATGTTACATACAGAGTTTTATTGTGAATGCAAGTAGCAATAATGACTTGTCTATGATACCACTGACAATTGGTCACTCAAATTACATTTTGACAACTTAAAATAACAATGCAAAGTTCTTAATTCACTATCAGACAGGTTTAGGATGGTAAATTATAAAATCCTTGTAGGCAAAAATCAAAACAAAACAAACCAGTGGTCATTTCTAAAGTCAAAGGAGAACAGATCCAACTTAATACAAGTTCAATTTTATGATGGTCAATTAATATATTATTTGAAATTTTGAACAATAATAGACAGTTCCAAATTTAAACCAGGACAACTCGATTTTACAAGTTTTGCTTTGGTTAAGGATTAATCATTGTTATATCTGACCATTAAAATCCTTTCCATTTTAAAAGTTTAGGGTGGTAGATTATAAATTATTTTGTGGAGCCAAAACACATTAACAATCACAATGTACAGCAGGGTTAGTCCATTTTAAAAGTTTAGGATGGTAAGAATAAAATTTAATGTTGTTCACTTGATATAGAGTTTCAAGTTAACAAACCTGAATTACATAGATAAATGCACAAGTTCATTTAGCCTATATCTGGTTGTGTTATCAATCTATCCCATTTAAATCTAGTCTTACATAATGTCTCAGCCTTGTGTTACATTGTTTGATCTGTTTAAGATGATAGTGTGTTAGCAAGATATCTAAAGATTAATTGTAATCCAACTTGTATCCTCAATTTTTAAGTTTCTTATGTTTAAGATGAGCTGCAAAATTTTAGCTTATTGTAGTATAAAGTATTATTAGAAAATTTCTTATGTCTAACGCAATGTGATGAAAGGGTTTATGTTTATATATATATATATATAAAGGGTTTACAAAGCTACTGAAATTTCAATTTCTGTTATGTGACACTATTTTCCAAAACCTTTGATTATTTTTGTTAACTTACAAGAGCATAATGCACTCAGGAAAGCTAAGAAGACCAAGATACTGTGCATGGTCATCCTTTTAAAGTGAATAGAATTCAGAGTGCTCAAATATAATCTAACCCTTGGCCATTATAATGTTTGTCTTAAATATAGACAATATCATAATTGGGAGAAATTGCACAAAATCACTAAAAAGCCTTGTAAATTCTAGAGATCACAAATTATATTAAACCGGGAATTTAACTAGGTTAGAATACTCTTGTTTACAATGCCCCCCCCCCCCCTCATAACCATAATACAACACTTTTTTTCTTTAACATATGAATATTTATACTTATACTCTTATTTGATAAATTTTTTATATTTAACAAATGACAATTTTTCTTGCATAGATAATTTTTATAAAGTGTTGTTTTAAAACTTAAGCATGTTGTTTTTGTTTTACAGGTTTTACAAGGGTACTGTACCAAGATTGAGCCGTGTCTGTCTGGACGTTTGTATAACTTTCATGATTTACGATTCATTTATGGAATTCTTTAACAGGGTCTGGAGAACCGATTAATTGTGAATCATAATAACTGAAATTCTACTATACCAACACAGAAAAACCACAGTTCATCATCTTCTAGGAAACCAGCAAATTGTAGAGCTATAGTTTGAACAAACAACCTTGAATGCAACCATAACCTGAGATTTTCTGTCCCCATTAAATATTGTTTTACCCTGTAAATAAATATAGTTTAATATGATGTTTGTAATTCAGAATGTCTATATATGAGTCATTAAAGTTACTTGTTTGCATTAAGACCAACATTTTTCAAAAGTCATTTTTATTTAATTTATACATATAAATGAAATAAGAAAACATTTTGTATACAGAGAGCGATACATTTTTATGTTACATACAAAGAATTACCATGGAGACACACCAACTTTATTTCAGTGGTGTCTTAATCACCAGTGTATAAATACATCTGCATATATCACCAAATTCAAAATTACACCATTTTCACATTGAAATGTTGATTTCTGCTGAAACTGTTGCCAGGGAACATCATTGGTAACTAGCATATACCACTAAATGCTTACAGGAACAGGCTCAATTAAACCAAGTTTGCAACATAATTAATTTTGCGATGTCCCCGGGTGACTTATGGCTCCGATTTTAGCTTTTTTTGATGGCCTTATCCTTTCCCCGCACATATTTCTACTCTCAGAAATAAGCAGTTAAAAAGTGCAGGATTTGATTCAGTTTTCAAAGAAAACTTTGCATTGATACTTGAGGCCTAAGTTATTCAATTTTCTGTCTTGCAGAATCAAAACTTTTTTTTTGTATTTTTTAATAGGCCTACTAGTATTCCTACTAGTTACCAAATTGAATTGAAGCATACAGTATAATACATGTTTATCATTTGTTTGTAAAGTAAAAACCTTTCTCTTTCTTTACCTAAAATATCACAAAACATAAGGTATAAACATTTTTTATAAATTTCAGGCACCTTTTAAAAGGATAAATTTTTATCTTAGTGCATTAAAGGGTTAACTTACCGGTATATAGATTATATAAATACTTTACCAGTTACTGCATGAGTATTTGCTGAAATCAAAGGTCCTAAAGGTTGATATGATAGTAGAATGCTGAATATCAATTTAATGTTTTACAGCAGTTTTGTTAAAGAGTTATTATTATATTATAGTTAAGGGCATAGCGCTTCTTGTTGTTTATATATTTGATGGCTCATTGTATATATTTTATATTATTGTTATTTAGTTTAGTTTTAATTCATTAAGGATAATGAAATCACTCTATATGTGCTATAAATTGGTCTCACATATTCTGATTATTCTAAAAGTTAAAAAAAACACCATAAAAAGTACTCAAAGACAAAATTTGTGATAAAATTAACAATTTGGTTTTGCACTTTCTTTTAAGGTTGTATTAGCAATTTGTTTCTCATTGTCTTTGCATAAACTTAAGCTGAAATAACATGAAACAAATTTACATATTTTGTTTTGTTCTGTCCATGCTGTCATCATTTACTCTATTTCTGTGCTTACATCCTTACAATAGTGCTCTGATGATATGACTGATTGCCTCCCTTTGATATTTTACCACCTTTTGTATTGTGTATTATTAGGAGTTCTATCCAATCATTGTAGCCATACTTGTTAAGAGAAACTTTATTATGTTTACAATTGTTGCTCATTCTTTGTGTTCTTGACTTTACATCTTCTAACAGTGTTCTAAGATATTCAGTGCTTTCTTTTATTTTTGTTAGTGATTTTGTTAAAGTCTTTACCTATAACCTGATGGAAAAAACAAAACAAAAGTGATTTGTCTTTGCTGTCTGTATAAAGTCGGGACAGCCTGTACCACACCACTGTGTTTATACTGTTATAGTTTTTGATATTGAAATCCCTTAAACTGTGAATGGACTGTTCCAAATTTAAAGTAGACAAGTTTATTTTGAAAATTTTGCAGGTTCAGGGTTAGTAATATAGTTTTACTTCTACAGACACTTAAAGTACCATGTATGCTTTTCTTGCAAGTTAGTTAAAGTCTTCAACACTTATTTACATACTGTTATAGTTTATTAGCTAACAGTATTAAAAGTGCAAGTATGTTATGTCAGATAATAGTCAGCTGATTGTCTGTGACCAATTGATATCTCCTTTTATAAGTCAAATGTGCTAGACCGAATATTGGTTTGTGGCATTGTTGGGTACCTTCTTTGCAATGTTGCATAAAACTTTATAATTGTTGATATTCAGACAATAACAAGTTTATAACATCAGTTTTCAAAGTGTCTCAAGCATGGAAAACCTTATATTTGTATTTGTTTTTTGCCATTTGAATTGCTTGTTTTAAGTAGGATAAGGAAATACATAAACCCATAACTTGCTGAGTATCTGAAATGGACTAGTCCAGCTACCATATTTGGAACTGTCCATTATCAATTTTGGGGAAATCAAGGTGAACACCCAATAGTATATAGTCTGGTCAGACCAAATATATGTGCTGACTGGCTAACAAAATAGTTTAGTCAAGTCTGCATGAAAGTTCTAGAATAGAATAAGTATAAGCCCATCATTTTCATTGTTCACAATTGAAGGGTTTTTAAAGTTTTATATTCAAGATATATCAGCATATTTGCCTTTTTATTTTAATGCCATTAAAGAGTAAATTGTAAGTTTTGATAATGAATGATATTCAGTTAGTGATATGAATTTTATCTCACAGATAATATACTGTATTTCATTGAATGTCACAAAATTATAGACCAAATTTAATACATATTTCATAAGTAAATTGTTAATTGGTTGTGTATGGTGTGTAAATATATAAAGTCTAGCTAATGTTAAATATAAGTCTTGATTTTAGAGGGTTTTAGTGCAGATCCTGAACAGTAAATGTATGTTCTGTCTCTATTGTTGTTTATTGCTATTGTTCACACTGTTAAACAGTTATATAGTTAACATTGTTGTTATGGGATAACCGATATGTAAATAATTATACTGATAGATTAGTTCAATAATTATTGTAGAATCATTATATGATGTAGGCAAATCATTATTGTTTTAAAGGTTTCAAAAATAGGGCTATTTGTGATCAATTATTTATATATACTCTCGAAGATTTCTGTGAAAGTTACAATTACTTTCTTGCAATTAGTATGGAGCCATCCCCTGCAGGTTGGTCAGAGTCTATACTTTCTGATGCTTGATTTAACCACTTAGATTGCATATCCCTAAAATTAACAATGGGTCATTCCAAAGTGAAAGCAGGGTGAGTCCATAAAACAAATTTAGTTGTGTAATGAATGAGTAAAAAGTAATGAGTACAAGGAAGGAATGGTGTTAAATTAAACTTGAATCACAAGGGCATTCTTATATACTAGAGTTGTGCAGTTTGTCAAATTAAAAAGACACTGAAATAAAAAAAAATTCATAAAATCTGGGTTGGCGGCGGTGGGAGCTTCTGTGGCCGAGTGGTTAAAGTCATTGACTTCATACCACAAACCCCTAAACACTGTTTGAGTCCTGTCAGGGTCTTGGATTCTTTAATGTGATGAAGCTGTCCAGCTAGCTTACTGCATCTCGGTCAGGTTGTACTCAGATGCCTGTTCGTGCCTGAAATAATGCATGGAGGGCATCTGAGGTTTTCCTGCACAAGTAAAGCAGGAAAATAGCCATATGACCGATACAGTGTCTAGTTAAAACCCGACCAAAAATATTAGGAACATGTAATAGGATTTTGTCAATAAAGTACACACCTGGAATAAAAATATTTTGAAATCATTTTCATGTATAATCAGCAATATGAAATAAAAGCATCATAATGTAAATCTCTTCCCATAAAATGTTTTGTTTTTAGCTCGACCATTCAAAGAATAGGGAGAGCTGTTGTATTTACCCAGGCATTGGCGTCACCCTTGGGTTAAGTTTTTGTGTGCATGTTGCTATAATCTCCAAAACTACTAAAGAGAATGAGTTGACTTTACACACTTACTTGAGAGCACTTAAAGGTCACTATCCAAGGCCCATAACTGGAACATTTTGACTTTTTTGAACTTGAGAAATTATTCAAGCTCTTGTTAGTCAAGCATGCTGTCCTACTGACAGCTCTTGTTACTTCTATAATTTACAATTTATCAGCAGGTCAAAGCATTCCAAGTGATTTTATAATATGAGCCGCGTCATGACAAAACCAACATAATGGGTTTGCGACCAGCATGGATCCAGACCAGCCTGCGCGTCTGCGCAGTCTGATCAGGATCCATGCTGTTTGCTTACAAACCCTATTACAAGTAGAGAAACTGATAGCGAACAGCATGGATCCTGATCAGACTGCGCGGATGCGCAGACTGGTCTGGATCCATGCTGGTCGCAAACCCATTATGTTGATTTTGTCATGACGCCGCTCATATGTATGATTTTAGAACAATGTGTTCAACCTGCAATTTTATGTATTTTTTCATGGTAATTTTGGCCAGTTTGATGACAGAATTATTTGTGTGACAATTTTTCAATCAATTTTTGATATTTTTTGTGTTACATCATTGTTAAACAAAATTTTATACAATAGTGAGGTCAGGTAATTGGTCATCTTTATGATTTTTATAACTGTTTCTAAATGTATGCAATGGTATTACTCATTGATATACAATATGTAGTATTTTACAATGTATTTGTGCTCCATCAGATTAACGTATGTATGTACATGTACCAAATGTAATATAGGGGGTTATCATAATGTAAGGGGAATTCAGCAGTGTTAAATTGATATATTTACACATGTATAGCTTAGTGATGTCAGCCTGTTAGCATAAACACCACAGGTTCGTGCATTACTAGGGTCACAATCACGCTATATGTATGTCACTTCAACTGGCGAGTCCTGAAAGCGTAAGCTCTACGCTTTCGTCACAAGTAAGCTAAAACTATATACATGTGAAATGTAAATGGTTAAATAAAACTATTTTGTTATAATTATTTAAATTTAATGGAAAGCCTAAAACATAAACTTTGCCATACATACATTATATTAGACTACATCATTATTACACTATGTAGAAAAAGAAGTTCTTCACAATTAATTTACTTTCATTGTGTTCCTTTGAAATCATTTATACATGTACATGTATATTGTTTATACAAAATAATTAAATGTTTATTTTTAGAAGAATCTTTCTTAAAATGTTCAAGAGTTATTCACAAGATGGGCAGTCAAATGTGTGTGGAAATGGAAATATGTTTGTTGACAGGTTGTTTTCATTGACCAAGAGAGTATTAGATGCATATAGCTTTGTATGGAAGGTTTTTTTCTGTATGTGATTTTTATTTCACAATCATGTTTAACTGTATTGGTTTTTATTTATTATTTAATGTTGGTTTGTAGTATTAAAAGAAAAGATGGTGCGTAAAGTAGTCAGCCGGTGCCATAACAACATAGATAATGTACTTACATGATCTCAAACATGTATTTAATATTATAATACAACTTTACATTTATCAATTAAGTAAACAACATGGTTTGTGTTTCTAGTTTGTTTAATGCCATTGCAGTGACATTACCTAATCTTACAATCACCTCCTGATATTACAGATAAAACATGTAAGGGCCTATATACCAGTGATAACATCAAATCTTTAACTTCATATTGTAAAACTTAAATTTCTTAATCAACATATCAAAAGAAAATCAAGACTATTCAAGACTTTATACAAATTTATGTGAGGAGGTGATTGTAAGAGCTTCTAAGTGTACAACTTTAATTTATAATATGTCAACCGAAAAAGTTCAGAATCAAGACAAAACAAGACGGTTATACAAATTTGTAGACAAAAACAGAATATTTTGACTTCTATATAAAAAAATCACTATAACTGTACTAATTGCCAAAAAGCAACTGAAGGAAAACATTGTTCTGGTAATTGGCCAATGAGCTTCTGTTTAGAAACTATAACAGAACAACAAATTAAAATGATTTTGAGAAATGAGAATTCAAGCATTTCTGGGGCATAATGGGCCTTTAAAGACTCCTAGGTTTTTTTTTGCATTGTACAATATTAGTATTGTACATGTGTATATGTATGCTTGTATTGCCATCATGGGCGAATAGCCTTATGGAATAAATGAAATAAACTCTCAAACTCTCTTAGTGCTTCCTGAAATAAACTGTTGAAGTATTATATGTAAATTTACCTCGTTGATTTAAATATCTGCTATTGGTTATGGTATTCATATTTTTTTCATGGGGAATTTTTCATTGTCTTTATTTTATATATGATTTACGATCCATATTTTATGTAACCATGGATACCACTGATGTTTTATTTTTGACTTATTACAAGTTTTCATTTATCTACAAAAATGGGAGGCGATAATTATCTATGTAATTATCTATATATTAAGTTCCATTAAGTGAAAATCTAGTAGTCTTATGTCTTCAACCACTGTTCTTCTTAGTTTTGCAACTATGTCATCACTCGAGAAGTAATTTAAATATATTTCTATACAAGTACGTAATACAATGTTTTGTTTGGGGTAGAAAATGGACAATCGAACTGTACTTTATTTCTTACAAAAGGAAAAAATAAAAATTTTTTATGTCTTCTCCTAGCTATTAAGATATATCAAATATTTATAGATTGTATGATGTTGAAGATTCAAATGTTTGTGAACAGCCACTGCTAAATTTCCTCATTTTTTACAGCTCAGATGTAACAGATTTTTTATTTATAATTACCGTAGCAATTACATGTATATTTAGTCTGTCATCTGTTATTATGTAAGGGTTGTTAACTTCACTTATCTGATAGAAAAGGGGTAGAAGCAGCAAAAGCTGTATTATTGTTATAGCATGGTACTGTGATGGTGGTCAGTGCCCTTTGCTGCCATTATTTGGGTCTATTCTTGATACTTGTGTTCATTAACATAACCAACCATTACAATAAAGGCAGGAGCTATTTTTGTTCTATTAATGCATGAAATGTGATATTATGTTTTATTTTGTGAAGAAAAGTTTATTTTTATTTTTGGTGATACTATTTTTCCAAATACTGCTTATATATATTTTCTTTATGTGGTATACTACAGGACCATTTTTGCATATGTGTAATCTAACTGTGTAATGTTATATATACTGGTATTTTGTGTACAGCAGATAGACGGGCTTGTAACATAAACAATTTGTATCCCCATTATTCATAAATATGCAATACGCAATACAAGATTTAGATAAAAATAATATGTTGTTGTTTATTCTAAAGTCCATTGGTCCATATACTTTATAATGTTAAGATGGCATATAAAACATATTGTAAGCTTATACCAATTTAGCTAATGGCAACACTTTTGAATAAGTTCCAGGAGATAGAAAGGGAGATAAAACCACTGAGATCATGAATTATATAATACTCTTATATATCATTAACAGTCCAGAGACCTATAACAAATCGTTAATGGGCATACATGCACCTGTATAGAACCCCAGTTTTTGTTGTTTGTTTGGTTATACAGGTACCAACACAATTTAGGTCATACAGCGCTGAAACAGGAAAGATGATTTTGTTACAAACTTCAAAGCAACACCAGGGGTTAAAACCACTTTAATATCTGCTGGTGCTAAGAGATGCATAAACTGGTATTTCAAACTCATTTAATTGCCTCTTAGGATCATACAGGGATAAACGGTGGCTACAATTCTTATGCTTCAACCATTAAAGGCAACCCCTCAGCTATAATGTGTCAGTTTAGTTGTAAAAAGTATTAAGTTGTTGAAGAGCAGCAAAGGATCAAAATTATTACCACTAGATGATATACAGTGTAACTGCAATTTTTCAAATATCTAATGAGAAGAACAAATATTGCCTAACATTCTGAATGCCCTATAAATTTTCTTTTTCTTGTTTTGCTTGTTTAGCAGACATTCAAGGGCAACTTTTTTCTTCTTAGTGTTTTTTTTAACACCTTTCTAGTTTAACATGTTATTTAATTTAAACATGACTCGAAATGAGTGCACTCCCTAGGGGTGGGTCAGTGGGTGACAAAAGCATTATTATCAGAACAGATGGTTTGAAAGGGAAAGAAACCTTGGTGGTTTATGTTTCATCCGTACATTAGAGTTCCTTCCCTTTGTCCTTATAAATTCTTATATTCTTAAACTGCATAGTTGGTCAACTTCATTTGAAACAAAAAGTAAAAATATGTAATATGTTCCAGACTGAATTAGAAGATGCTTGTACTTTTACATTGTAATTTTCTGTCTATTTTTAGTTTCATAATCAAACTACCGACATATTTTTTTCTTAAAAATATAAAATGTTCAAAATATAGCGGTATAAATTTTATGTAATTTTTTTCATATTATGTTGATATCTCAATGGTTCATGCTTTATGTGCACAGTAGGTTTTTGAAAGTAAGAACTAAAATCTATTTTAATGGTGTTTGATTTACTGTTAATGTTCATAGACTGTTAGATAAACCCTCACAGCAATAAACAAATCAAAATGCACATTTTGAAAACAAAATGGTTATAACTTTTGTCTTTAAATTACCAGCCAAAAAAAAACGTCAAAGGTAAGTGGACTATATGCAACTACCAGGCAATAAAGGGAAGCAACTATGACTGAGCATCTAGTATTATTTTACAGTATACACATTTGTGTAGTCTGAACAGCTAAGTAAATTCTATTGATGCCTTAAACTGTAGTGGCAGTTTCTGTAAGAATAAACCAAATTAATTTGACAAGTAATATAGAATGCAGTTTCCCAATCATACATGTAGTTTATACATTTACTCATTCAAATTAAACATAATCAGGAAGAAACTTGTAATATACAACGCAGATAAATGTTGCTAGTTCTATTGTTTAATGACCACTAAATGTTCCAGGAATATGAGTGGCGGAAAGATAATTAGCATATGCATTTCAGTATTAGATAGTATCATGAATTTAGAATATACATAAGCTTGTATCAGAAATAGACAAAATTTAAAATTAAAATCAGGTTCAGATCACTGGTTGGGCTGGGTAATTCGAGATGTAATATTTTGGATCATCATAGTCAAGGGCATATACCGGCAGTATAATTAAAACTAAACTAGACTCTCTGTCTATTAACCTCTATAATTGTTAAAACTTGAATATTTCATGATATTTGAAAATAAACACTTGGTAACTTGTATATGATTTATTTTCATTAAAAAGCAATATAAATAATTAAAATTAAAAAAAAAATCAATCTTAATTTAATCATAATCTTTTCCTGATTAAACATTATAGTTTTCTACATTTCCCTGAAATGTTAATTTGAACAAAAAGCAATCAATCTGAGTGTACATGTTTATATATCAATAATATCATCTACAGAATTGTCAATCTCATCGCAACTTTTCATAATATTAGAAATCTTCGAAACTTTGTAATTAAAAAAATAAAAAGTGTTAGAGATTGAGAGGTTAAAGATATTCTAATATAATTTAATTGTTCCCACTTTATCAACATTTACACACTGTAAATATCAGGTTATAATCACAGCACCATTATAAAATATATTCATTAGATATGGTTTTGTATTTACAGCTTCGCACCTAACTTTGGACCTAGAGTTTTATACGCTTCTCTTGTACGATAGGTTATACTGTGACCATCATCAAAATGTGGGTTTAGTCGTTCTCGTACTCTCTCCATCCATTGTTTCACGTTTTTATTGTTCATGTAAATCTCTTCTTCGAACACAGGATACAACTGTGTAAGTTCACAGACACCGAGTAGATCTGCTACAGAAATATCTTCATTCCCGCCAATATATTTCCCGTCCTTCAGAAAATACTTGTCAAGTTGGTCAATAATTTTTGGCAGTTGATCTTTAAATCTGTTCACTTTAGCCTCATCAATCTTTCCCTGCCTTGCTACAGGCATTATCAACTGAAAATCATCAAACATGTTATTAATTACAAAATATCTATCTAAGTTCTTCTTTGTGCTAAAAAAGAAAATTGATAAAAGCATGCTTAAAGGTGGGTGTTGAAAATAGACAAATTTGCAACAAACCCATTTTTTTATATATGGATACAATCACTTGCCCCTCACTGCTGTGGGTTTGAATCCTGACTTCTTTCATATTAGGAAGCTATCCAGCTAGCTTACAGAACATCTGTGGTTCTACTTAGATGACCATTTGTGCCCGAAAAAAAGTTTGTCCAATTGTCATGACTGGGCTATTTCTTAGCAATCATTGAATGGAATACTGCAAAAAAAACTTGAGACAAAATTATTCTCAACTTGCATGTAACATTTATTTGACTTAAACATTGATTGATTTAAACAGAGCTTGCATAAAAATATGAAATCAATATCTAATATATCATTCTTATAACAATTTCTGTAATGTTACCTTTTGCCGGAAGACCATTGCAGCTTGCATGCGTGTGTTAAGATGTTGCCAATGAAGATACTCTTCAATCCTTGCTTGCCTTTGAAGGTCATTTTTTGGATACCAATGTTCAGGTAAGTTATACTTTGATGTCAAGTAACGCAGGATTGCAACACTAGAACATAAAAAAAGGTGTCATTTTTTTAAAATTTCAAGAAGTAAAATTTTACTTCCTAGATATAGTTTTTAATTAAAGTGCCTAGTAAAATTCATAATATACAAAAGTAAGATTAAACCTCACAAGAAAACTTGATTCTAAATAATATATCAATTAATGATCCCGTCATTTGTAAACTGTTACATTGGAGCCCGCTATCCTCAGACAGATACTGACCAGAGCAGGAGAATAAGCAAGAATTTCACCATCTAACTATTCAAACATTGACTAAACCATAAAATGGTTTTATTTTCACACCAGAAAAATCGCATGTGAATAAAGCAAAATCCATAGTCCAGGGATTTGGTATGGATTTGACAATCTAAATTTCCATGCAGCCCAAAGAGTTTCAGGTTTTGCAAGACCCAATGAAGTCTATTGCATGTTCTAGCTATTGTCCACTAGTGATGAACAATGATTTTATAAAAATGTTATTTTCTCATACTTTAAATTCAGATTTGTAAAAGAATATAAATAGATACCCAAGTACATGTATAAGAGATTTTCACCTTACATCACCAGAGGCCTTTTGGTATTAGCTCATTCCTAGTTGAAAATAACCTCTTTTTCTAAATTTTAAACTAAGTTTCAAACACCTACCAAAAATTAACCAGTTTCAAATGTTTTAATTTGTTTCTTACAAAAAGTAACAGAATATTTATTAAAACACGCATATAAAACTCTAAGTAATTCATTAGATACTATTTCATTTTTTCTCAAATTTCCTAAATAAACATTGCCACATAATTATTCCCCAATTAAATTCACTCAGTGGCCTTTTCCTAATATATAATTCCTGAAACAATTGATCATACCTTTCTGTAAGTACAAAGCCATTATCATCAAGAACTGGAACTCTTTGCCATGGATTAAGCTTTGTGAATTCTTCCTTAAAATTTTCACCTGTCAGTAAAGAAAGAAATAACCAAAATAACATCAAGTACACTACATAATTATTTGATAAATGTTATTCAACATACAAGAGGATGATTTGTATATCAAAAGATTCTCTGGATGCTATTATTGAAAAACGAGACAGCAATTCAAAATGACAATGATCAGCAGTTACACTTTAATATATGTAAAACTGGAGTTGATGCCAGTATGTTTAAAGTTTATTTTATATTCTAATCATATTAAGGTAAAATCAAGTTATAAGCTTTCAAAGTCTAAAGGATCAAGCTAACAAACTACTGACCCCCAAGGCTAAGTTCTTGGACCCCTCCTGTTTCACGCCTATATAAATCACAAAACATAAATTTTCAGGTCTGCTTGTTTGCAGACGATACTGCAATATACATTACTCTGACATCTGCAAACCAATCAGTTACTCTCCAAAATGACCTAAATCGGTTAGAAAAGATGGAGTTGGAGTGGGATATGGATTTTAACCACACCAAGTGTCAAGTTATCCATGTGATAAAAAAGAAAACATCCTATGCCAACACAATACTTCCTTAATGTAGTCCAATTAGAGTTGGTTACCTCAGCTAAATACCTAGGCCTGGATATATCAGAAAACCATACATGGGATACACACATTAACAGGACATCTTAGGATTCCTACCCAGAAACATAAAGGTTAAACCCAATCCATTGAGTCCATTGCTTACCAGATGTTAGTCAGACCCCAGCTTGAATATGGTCTACCCACACCAAAATACAACCAGATCAATTGAAAATGTCCAAAGAAGAGCAGCTCGATGGATCGAGCTAGATTATGGTCAGACCTCTAGCAACAGGGACATACTTCACTCCCTTTAGCTTCCAAAACTGGAACTCAAATATATAGATGCTATAGGTAGTCCCTTTTCTATAAGATTCACCGTGGTCTGATTGCTATCCCCATAGAAGAATATGTGACACCTCACACCATGGCCATATTCCCTTTGTTGAAGGTTATTCACAGCAACTTCAGACTATAAAATATTCTTGTTCTTTCCTAGGACAGTATACCACTGGAACCACCTACCCCCTGCAGTTGCCCTACCCCCTAACCCAGAGCAGCTCAGTGCAACCATAGCTTGCATTTAACATGTCTCACCCTAGTTTTCCAGCCTCCTGTGTTTAACATATTTTATATTCTTCTTTTATCCTCTTTTAAAACAACTCCTTTTAACTTTCTTGCAATTTTGACATGCAGATAATTATGTCTACATCCCTGCGAGGAGTTTGCCATTAATGGAAGATAGATAGATAGTCCTATAAATATGACGTCGCTTTGAGATATTTTTGCTTTTGGGCAAAGCAAGTCAGGCTTGATCGACATAAACTATAACAAGTCTGTACTGGTTTCCTAGCAGTTTCCGTCCTCTAGCAGTTTTCCGGCCGTTTATCATTTTCGTCCAGTACAGTCTATTTTTATCAGTAAGTCATCCACATTACTTCAGTCAGAGAAACATTTGTTTTCTATGCTTTAAACAGCATTTAAAATAGTACAACGTTTTATATATTTTGAAGTTTTGCCTGTTATTAAAAGTTATATATGAGAACTTGCGACATTCAAAAATAAGCAACACCTGTGGAATTCTTCTTTGAATATCCATGCGCATCAACTAAGATCCCATTTAAGGTAAATGAATACTTCGAAAAATATTTTTGCAGATGACACGGAAAAGGTTGGAAAGTTCTGTTTGTCTGATAAAATCATCTTAATATTGCTTTATGGTACTGAATTATATTTAAAATAAAAAAGGTCCGGAAAACTGCTATGAATTTTTTAATAAAGGTGAAAAAAAGTGTTACATTTCAGGCCTATATTTAAATTAAAAAGTAAAATGAAAGTGCAACATTAAACACATGGCAATGCTGGACAGGTACTTAACTTTGTCCTGTCAAAGTTTTGTACCCCTACGTAGACTGCATGATTTTTATTTTATTTGTTAAAAAGTGCAATTTGTGGCCGGAAACTGCTAGGAAACCAGTAACGTCTTATATATTGGACTAATTTAAGCTTGATTGCGAAACAAATTCTTGCAAGTTTTATTTATCACTTTCAAGTCTGCTTCCTGGAACCAACCATGCAGTACTGGTACAATTGTATCACATGAAAAAACTTGGTTGTGACACTGTTAGGGCTCAAACCCATGATCCACGGGTTGAGAGGCAGACACATTAACTACTAGTACTAGGCCACCGCCCCCTTGTTATTGTAATGTAAACGTCACTACAGTAAGGAGGAGGTGTAAGAACTTAAAAATCTTTGAAATCACATTTTTGTATCGATACATCAAGAAATTTTGCTGAAATCATGAAAACAGTTGTTAAATTCAACCGTTGGTAATGCTCGATATATTTATCTATACAGTATTGCTATATACATGTATTTGTCACCCGATATCGATATATCGTTGATACACTTTTATTCAGAGTGAATCATTGACAGCTCTGATAAATTTTGACGTCGTTCTACTTCCTGACCTATTCCAAATTTTTCAGCTAATTTTAAACTTCAAAAGATGTCACTCTATGACAGTGAAGACAAGTATATACCTTTTCGAAGAGCTACTGGTTTAGCTTCAAATTTTATGTTATTAGCTTTCAGAAAAATATAAACAGCTCTTGAAGGCTGTGACATGAGATCAAAGTAATATTTCAACGCCATTTTGGGAATTCCATGTGCTAAATTTAGAATCAAACAACAAGTAAATTAAATACCAAAAAGACATTTAATCTCCTTGGCGTCTAAATAAACTCGTAGTCAATGATAAACCAAATGGACAAGGCAGGGTCTTTCAAATATTTCTATTTGAAAGACCCTGGACAAGATAAACTTGTTTTAGTTAGTGAAATTGTGAATATTGCACAGAAAGACAAGTATAAATAAGAAAAAAAATACATCCCGTTCAGCCCAGTCCCTTAAAAATGATCCTATTAAATTAAGTGCATATACAGTGTAGTAGAGTCTGGACAAACACATTAATTTACAAAAAAATGTATGTCTTTCAAAATAAAGTGTACCAAACTCTTATAACATCGTTTATGGAGAATATAACCTGCATTTATGGAGAATATAACCTGTTTCAGATCTTAACTGACAAAATGCAGTTTATTCATGAAAATATTTCAAATTTTTCTAAAAGCGTCAATCTGCAAACGTGTCTTACAAAACTGTAACCAAAATAGCGCCAAAAAACGACTATTTATAAGAAAAGGCGTAGTAATACAAATACTATGGAACCTGTCAAGCATGAAATTAACCTTTAACCTAACAAGGACCAATCAAAATACCAATCATAATTAAAAGATTTTATTTAGCAACAAAATGCTTCACATTGTTAATTGCAATTAATATATCGGTACTTTTCCACCGAAAACATTTCTAGCCCCGTCCTGTTAATACTGTGCAGACCTATTACAAGTGTGGTAACACGGATTTATATTGCATATAAATCCGTGGTGGTAACTATCTGACTTACATGCTCTTCTGTTATTCTATCCATAAATCAGTTTTTTTAACTCAGCATTTATTAATATTAATCTAAAAAACATATATTGTGGTCCTCTTAGTTCTCATTACTTAACGCTTTAATTGAAGCAAGAAAGAAAACAGCACATGAAACTTATGGTACAAAATTGTCGTGAACGTTCTAACATAAAGATATTTTCTGCTGTATGACACAAGGAAACAACACTATATTTAGTCAAAATCAGTTTTAATGAGCCGGACGTAGACCATATGTCGGCAATTTTGAAAACAGTATGTCATCATTTAAATCGCGGTAATGCTGTTTTATTTCAATGTTTTCTTGTTTCATTTCAAATTTCTACATGTTATTTTGCATAATTTTAAATATTAAAAGCATCTTTACATACCAACCGCTACGCTCTTTTAATTTATAAATGCATCATGTGGTACTTGAAAATTATCGTGCTTTTCGTGCGGTTCCATTATGTAATAATGTCAGGTAAATGTACTTGTTGGGTTGAGATACAGAAGAGAAAAACTGAACTTGCCAAGATTTTGTTTCAAGTCATTACCATAAAGAGGGCAAAGGTATAGATCATTATTTAGTAATATAATCATATACATGATATGATAATACATGTAATTGAGGCTGACATTAAATTTTATTGACAAAATTAATGCGTTCTTGGTCATACATGTATTAAAAAAGTGAAAAACTGTTTCTTTATATATACTGTAATTCATTTCATGGTAAATACGTGATCAGGCTATTTTTTAACATAAAATATACGAATATCTATGAATAAATTAGGTATTGGGACCAAAATTTTACATACTTTTCACAAAACCTGTCGGCGAAATTTGTCGAAAACATGGTCTGCAATGTCACTTCTATGCTGACGATTCTCAAATATACATTTCTTTCAAACCGTTGGACAACACCAAAACTGAACTTGTACTTGATTCTGTCTCAAACTGCTTAAAAGAAAATAACATTCTGGATGAACAGCAACATTCTCAAACTGAATTCAGAAAAACAGAAACTTATAGTCTTTTCGTCGGGTAGCAATACAGACTCAGTGAAAAAATATAACTGTCAATGTGGACCAAGCTGAAATCAAACAGTCATCAAGTGTAAGGAATTTGGGTGCATTCCTTGATTCAAGGGTTAATATGGAACATCATGTTAGCTCCGTGTGCAGATCTTCGTATGCCCAAATAAGTAAGATAGGACGTATTCGAAAATATATCAACGAAGAAGCTACAAAAACACTCGTTAACTCTCTCGTGACATCAAGACTGGATTATTGCAATGCTCTTCTATATGGTATACCTCAACAAACCATGAAAAAACTTCAACTTGTTCAAAATACTTCAGCCCGTGTGATTAAACGTACATCTAGGAAAGATCATATTACACCAGTGATGAAAGATCTTCATTGGCTGCCAATCGAATATAGAGTGAATTACAAGATCTTATTACATACTTTCAAGTCACTGAAACAACAATCTCCATCATATATGCAGGAAATGATTCAAGTTTACTCCACTTCCCGAAATCTGCGCTCTTCAAATGCACCTGTACGATTAGTGCAACCAAAAACTAAACTGAAATTTGGTGAAAGGAGTTTTTTCGGCATCAGCTCCTAAGCTATGGAATTCACTACCAAGTCATCTTAAAAACTGTAACACAGTAGAAAGTTTCAAAAAACATCTTAAAACACACTACTTCAATTTAGCTTATGGAAAATAATCAGTGACTGTTATGAATGAATTTTATAAACAGTGAATACGAAGTATCTGTTATTTGAATATTAGTTTTATTAAAAAGTTTTTTTTTTAAACAAACAATTTTTTAAATCAATTTAGTATTTCTATTGTTTTATAACGATGATTTAGCAAGATCTTATCTATTATTATAAATCCATTGCTAGCATTTTTAAGCACAGAATATTTCTTTTTTTTAAATAAAAAAAAAAACAAAACTAACATTGATTTATCATAATAATTTACATGTGTTATATAATATATGGCTCGTGAATGCAGAGGGGTCAGATTTCAAGAATATTTAGTGTTAAGGTGTGGGGCGTGGCCCTTTCCTCCTGTGGTGATAGAAGTGATGTCATCCTGGGGGTCTGCATGCGCTGTGGGGAGGTATCTGACTCCCTCGTACTGGACCTTGGTGTAGCAGTACTCATGCTATCCAGGTTCGTTAGGTTCAATATTCTTTTTAGTCTGATGTCGCTGTATTCATTCTTTTATCAATCGTTCATATATTTTCTGTTGTAAAGTATGACAACAAAACAATGAAAATCATCAATATGCATTTAAAGTAGCTTTTAATATTTATTTATGAGTTTATGTTAAAAAGGCACATTATTTCTTACACATTTATATATTGAAGACAATTTTAATGTATGACAATAATATTGTAAAGTGAGTTTTAAGGATCTTTAAGTTATATTGTATTAATATGTAAAAAATAATTCCATAATTTATACTTTTAATTAGTTAATGCAAAATATTTTTAATGTTCATAATCCTGTTCATTTATATTGTTTTTTTTTTTTTTTAGACATATATGATTGATGTAAAGCGCCTTTGAACATTTTAATGAAAAAGGGCGCTATATAAATGTGGTATTTATTATTATTATTATTATTATTATAATAAATACTACTAGTAGTACATGTAGATAAATTGTATGATAAGTTTTTGTGTCTTTCTATGTTGGCGTTTTATAGAAAGCTGATGTTAAATATGTCTAGAACCGAAATAATTTTTCTTCCAGGATATACTAAGTTAACATCATCCCTTCTCCCCATGTTTGATAAGACCGCACAGTAAAAACGTGACCTTTAACATTAATGAACTATTTACCATACAGATCACCACAAAAGAATAGAGAAAGTATTTTGGAATGGCTTTAAATAAATGTAGAAAATTTTTAAATATTGATAAGAATAATTATGAAAAATACACTTTAAAAAAATCAAAACTTTTAACTTGAGTTAATTCTAAATATGAAGAAAAACAAAAACATTCATAAAGTTTGCAAAAATAATGTGGTTTGTGCGATTATTTAATATACTAGATTGGTGTTTTCATTTAAAATATAAAAAAATAAAACATTTTATATTTTAAAAAGACGGTAGATTAAAAATTGTACTCTATGTGGGTGCAGGGATGTTGGACATCGGAACAAATGGGGGATAAACTGAATATAAGCCAAACACCAAAAACACAAATAAACAGTTTCAAAAACCGCAAATAAGGGACCCATCAATTAAAAATAAAATTTCCTTTAAGTTCAAAATTTGTGGGCAATGGCTTTTTTAAATTTTTTTGTATTTCCCCGGTTTATAAATTTTCATAACACTGTTTTTTTTAAAAATCAAATCTTAACAAAAATTTGATGCCCGGTGAACACTTACTACTTTAAACATAAAAATTGTTAACTTTTTGCCCTTTTTTTAAATGCTGGGGAAATTTAATGGCCTAGGGGGTAAAAAATTGGAAACTGCTCCCGGGGAAGCATACATTTTCCCTTAAAAAATTTAAAATTATGAAAAATAAACTTAAACTTTAAACTTTAAATATCTATCTTTTGAACCCAAATTGCATGATATAAGGTTTTTGGTTTTTGGGCAAGAAAACAAAATTAATTTATCTCCCAAAAAATGTTCAACTTTTGCCCTGGGGCCCAAAATTTACGCAAGCATTGGGGGTCAGGGGTTTTTCCCTTTTATGTGTAAATTTTTAAAATTTTTAAATTTTAAATACTTCTTCTCCGAGCCTTAAAAAGGCCAGAGCTTACATATTTGGGGCATGAACATTTTTTTTAATGGCACCCCCCGGGGTTTCCTGGAAATTTTCTTTATATAAATTTCAGAAAAAATTTTCCAAAAAATCCCCCTTAAAACTCCCCCCCAAAAACTACTAATCCTTGGATACCGGTAATTAGCATGAAACATGATGTAGTAGACCTCCTACAAGGTGGTTCATATAATGACCTTAGAGTCATTATTGACCTAGTCCCGGGGATCATTGCCTATTTCAAGAATTTAATAGACGAAATCAATATTACATGTAACAGCGAAAGTGAAGAGTTTTGTCGGCAGGAGTTGTCACCAGATGACCCCATATTGAAGAGCTAGATACTATTATAACTATTACAGAGGTGCAGCATGTAATTAGGCACTTTAAGCGCGCGAAGGCGGGCTCAC